GCTGCTGTCGCTGCGCTGTCGGAGAGCCCCCTCTAGTGCGATCCCGGCCGGCCCCGCTCCGCTCCCACCCCCCGCCAGCCCGCACGTATTTACTCCTTTTTCTGCTCTTCCAATGATTTCTGGGCAGCCCTGTTATTATTTATGGCTTTTGTCAAGAAAAGGGGAAAATTTAAGGCGAGCTCGGAGTCAACTCGTCGGCGGAGCAAAACCCGCCTGCCCAGAGCTCTCGCTGTCTCGGGAATCAGATAAAGATCTTTACTGTCATTATATGGACTAAATCTCATTGGGAAAGGCTGCACAGAGAACTGTAAAGATTCCACCCAGTCTCGGTAAACAAGTTTATATCCTTAATTTTCCAGCGCAGGCCTGTTAGAGCAGACATTGAGCTCTGCAGAGCAAAGGCAGGTTAATCAAACAGGTTTGAAAATGTAAATAAAATACTGCAATGAATGATATCTCTAAGTAGACTGATCTAAATGTTATCAAGTGAGAGGAACGACTTTAGGACCTGGAAGTGTTTCTGTTATCTGATTACATTTTCATGTTCTCTGAGGGGGGGTGGTTTGAGACTGTATATCCAGCTCTTAAAATCCACAGCACCTCTGCAACAGAATATAACCTGGATTTAAGGATTTACTGAGGAAACAAATGCATGCAATTCAAATTTATCAAGTATCTGTCAGTTCTACCAATAAGGAACGAAATTCAAATAAATAAATAATTGAAATAACAAGGGAATTTTTGTCTTCCAGGGGCAGAACATCAATCTTCCCAACAGCTCTGTCTCCAAGACCTTTTTCCCTGGTGTAATTCCCATATCCACCCCGGCAGGCTGAACAAGCACCCCAAAATAGCTCTAACTCTGCCTTCCCCATTTCTCTGACAAGGCAGCAGCAGAGACCTGAACTCCTCATCACAGGAGTGGGGGCTGCATTCCCTGTCCTCCACAACAGGAGTTAAAATCCACATCTTAATGTCACTCAAGACATTCCCAAGAGCAGGCAGAGGTTCCACCTGCAAGGACAGCAGGGCAATGGCTCCGTGCTGGCAGCCCTTGGCTTTGTGGAACAGCTACAAAAAGGCACCCCAGACTTGTGCTCTTCATTTCAGGACCTGTTTTTTGTGGTCCACAGCAGGGATGGAACAGCTGGCACTCCTGCAACTAGAGAGAGATGCCTTAAGAGGGCTGTCTAACCAAAAAACTCGGCTGTGCATCTCTGGGAGAGCTGATGAAAAATGTTACCTCTGCCTGAAAACCTTCCCTTTCCTCGGGACTTTCTCAGAGACTCTTCAGCTGAGGAGAGCTGGTCCCAGGAGGGTCCTTCATCACCATCCTCATCACAGCACACACAGAAACCTCCCCATGACCCCAAACAGACTGTTCCTCTGATTTGTGGGGCTCACTAAAGGATCAGGGCTCCGAGCTGCTGTGAAGGGGAGGATCAGGTCATCATTTCCACTCTTATTCTGCCGCTGGAAGGAAATATTTTATACTCCTCTAAGCCTCACATCCAACCCTTTTTCCTTCTTACCATTATGCCCCTGAATAACTGTTCATTCCTTACAGACACCTGAGATGCCCAGAGGTCACTGGGAAAAATGACTTGTGCAGTCACAGCTCTGTCATCTCCTCTCTGTCTTTTCTCCTTATTTTTATGGGGTTTTATTTACTTGCTACCTGTTGCCCACATACTAAAACCCAACCTCTCAGCAGCTTGAGTGCTTTGCTTTAACAGCCTTAAAGGCCCTGACCTGAGCCCTGAGACACCACTCCCAGGGTCACAGGGATGAATCATGGAATCATTAAGGTTGGAAAAGACCTCCAAGATCATCAAGTCCAACCTTTGACCAGCACCACAACACACACTAAATCATATTGTGAAGTGTCGTGGTTACACTCATTTTTGAACACTTCCAGGGGTGGTGACTCCACCAGTTCCCTGGGGAGACTGTTCCAAGGTTTAGCCACTCCTTCAGAGAAGGAATTTTTCCTAATCTGAGCCTCCCTTGGCACAACTTGAGGCCATTTCTCCCATCCTATCACTCATTGCCTGGGAGCAGCAGTTATTTCTACCCCTCCTGTCAGCTCCACAAGCCAGTGAGGAAGGTGACTGTGGACCTTCTTCAACAAGGTAAATACTGGGATTTGTTTGACACTTTGCCACAGGGAGCTGAAGAGGAATTTCCCTTCTGCTCCCATTTGTTCCAGGCACTTTCCATTCACAGCTCACCTGGAAAGTTACAGACTTCAGGGTCTGTGTCCATAGATCAGAACTCAGAAATGGATGCAGGAAAGGGTGATGAAGTACAAAGTAGGAGACATTGGCAAGATGGTTAAAGAAAAGTCTTTTTTCATTCTTTTTTTCCTTTTTTAACAGCTCTGTAGAGTGCAAATGTGAAAAAAAACACCCACAGCAACATGGGTTAAGGAACATTTGTCAATAAGAAAGAGAATAAAAGCAGGCACTAAAACAACAGAAATAATGACTCTACTTTCCAGATTTTGATTCCAAAACGTCTGGTGCCTCAGGCACTTATCTGAAAAACTCTTCTTCAGCACAGAACCTCAGTGTTTCGCCTCAAATAGTTGTAGTTAACAAATATTCAGTGTGTGTGTGTGAGAGAGAGAGGCACTGACAGACAGCCCACAGCTATATGGAGAGATGGAACTGCCAAGAGGGAATAGAAACAAAAACCCAAAAAATATTAGAGCAATACATCTTCAGCTTGGAAAAAAAAAATTGTTCCATTTTCTTTGGCTTTCCCTCCACGTCTGAGGGAGCCACGACCTTGAACTGCACCTAAACCACTGGGAACCACATGGGAATTGCCTCTTCCATGGGAATTGGCTCCTCAGGTGCAGAAGTCACTGTCCAGCCTGCTCAGCTTTGTCTGCTGGAGCCCAACACACAGTGAGGTTGTTCCCAGTGCTTTTCACTGTGTGTCACTCACTCTGTGTCCTCCATGAAAGAATGTGCCCAAAAGAACTGGGAAGATTGCTTTTCCTCAGAGCTGTGGTAACATCCACCTGGGATTACTGCAGCCTTTTTGCTTTCCTCTTGTTGCTCCTGGTTTTCCCACCCTGGAAGATGAGCTTTTCCAAAGGCCCAGGCGAAGCTCCAAACTCTCTCTGTGCCTTTTAACTGCGTTGGTTACAAAACCACATCATCAATATTTAAAGAATAACTGTTTTACAGCCTCCTTCCAGATGTTCTTGCTTTCATTATTGCCTTATTACTTAAAAAGACAACACAATGTGATATATTGGATGTATCATCCAACCTGACACTCGTCTGTGTGTCGGTGTCTGGTGGGAGCATCCTGTGAGAAACAACTTCATTATTTCCTGCACAGCCACTGAAAGGAAAGGAGGGTTTAAGGGCTGCCAGAATGCAACAGGAAAACCTCCCCAGGCTGAGCTGAACCCCTCTGCCCACGGACAAGGGGCACGAGAGGCAGTGGCAGGGCCAGCAAGGATTGTAAGGACCAGTCAACAGAGGGTATGATACAGCCACTACCCCCTCCTGGAGGAATCACCCTGCTGGTGCTGACTCTTCTTATTTACTGCTGTAAATACTGTTCATCTGCCTGGTTTCAAGTCACAGAGGAAATGATTTTGAGCAGAAAAAGTGTCCTAAAGCAAAGCCCAGAGATGCTCCCACCCCTGTGCAGGTTGTGGGGTGACTCCTGTGTGCGGTGAGACAGTTCTCAGGGAGGAGGCAAATCCCATGGGATGCCCAGAGGGATCTCTGCTGCTGGTGAACATCAGAGGCCTCTGGAGGACACCAGTGAGGCCTCTGCAGCAGCTGATTTTATTGTAGAACCCACTAACTCCTCCCAGTCCTCCTGAACAAGAACACACCGTGCAGTTCAGCCGGGGCAGTGAGGGCTCCTGTTCTCCTCCTGGAGAAGAACAACCTGGTGTTTTTCCCCAACATAGAAGTGACTCCAGAGAGCACAATTCCCTGCCCTGCTGGAAATACTCTCACATTCTCAGCTCTGTTATTCCCACTTTCCACAAGAAGGGTTTTGCCAATGATGCCAGTGAGGAGAACCAAGGGGAGGGAGTGCTTTGCCTACAGCCCCCTACATCATTTGGGTGAGGAGATTCTAGCCCTGCATCCCTCAACCTGGATATTCACCCTAAAATTAAAAAAATATATTAAAAACTCCCATTAATTTCCCTCCATTTGGACTTTCCTTCTCTGACATGAATACCCATATTAGCCAGTGTTTGATTACAAAATTACTTTGTATTCCATTTCAGATTGTTTCATCTGTTATCCAGGGATGTAGGAGGACTCTGAGTTGTGCCACCCTCCAGTTTCTGCCAATAATGTCATAATTTGATATGGAAACTATGCATGCTATTATATTTTAATTTGATATTTAAAACATGCTTTGGCAGCCAGCTGACTCCTTTTGAGGCATTTATCTGATTTCTCTCCGCCTTTTTATTCTGAAAATACTCAGAGGGAATATGTCCTATCACATTTTTGTTATGCAAACTGAATCTATAGAACTTCCAATTTCCTTTTTTTTTTTCCCTCTAGAATTTGGTAAATATATGAGCATGTAAAAAAAGGAAAATTGGGTAAAATTCAACCACATGCTACAGAGAGAAAACTTCTAGAGGTCTAAACTTAAATACTTGATCTTCATCATCTTCAGTCCTCACTGTTCTTTCTGCTCTTTCTATTCCTACTCCTTGTTTCCATATTCTTCATCCCTTCCATCTCAGTCTAGGCCTGCCCAAAAATCCTTATCCCAGCTATACTGCAGATTTCTGCTGCATCCAAGGAGCCAACAGGGAGATCCACAGCCCTGGGGAAAGGCCTTTGGCAGGAATATTGGAATATTTTAAAAGGAGGTGAGAAAAATCTCCCCCAGAATATTAATTGCACCTAACGAGCAGGATCCATCATGACTCAGGATGTTGCTGCTTTGCACCAGCAGCTGATGCAAATTGGAATTAGTCTCACTGCAAGCACTGCAAACACTCAATGTTAAGGATTATTAGGAACAGTTGGATGGAAAACTGGGAGCCTGCTGCTCAGGCTGGATCAATATTTGCAGGGCAGTGATGGGAAGTGATGAGGAAGGCGAGTGGCGCTGCCCGTCCAGCCCAGAGAGGTGACATGAAGTGACAGGGGAGGGGGAGCCAGCCCTGAATTTCCAGGATGGAAATTCCAGCACCACAAGGCCAGGTCAGCTGATGAAGCAGTTTGCCAGAGGAAAAAAAAAAACAAACCAAAAAAAACCACAAAAACAACCATCAAGCTCAAAAAGAGGAGGCCAAATAAATGAAAATGGAGACGGGAACGGAGGAGAATCCAATGGGCAGAGAGACTGGGCAGGGAATGCTCCCTCCAGCCTGGGAGAAAAAGCCAAACTGGCTCCTCAGAAAGAATATTTCTGCCACTTCTAATTGCTCCTGCATGGCTAAGTGACCTAATTCAATTAAGTTTTTATTTCTAATGAACTCTGGTTATGAAACCAACAGTATCCTGGAATAACTGTGAGTGTGGCTGAAGCAAACAGGGAATGTTCTGAGAGAGGCAGAAAGTTTTATCTTCAATGAATCAATAAAAAAAAGTTACTCAGAAAGGAGCCAGTCTTTGGTTGAGCTTTGGAGACCCTGTTTTCATGCAAAATGTAAATGAGTTGGTAGTGGCCACGGAGCTCTGCAAAAGCTTTAGCATTCTGAATAATAAGTTCACTTTTATATCACTCAGTGTTATTATTTGCATTGCCATCTCTGCCTCATCACTCAATATGAATTTTCTCCAAAGAACACTGAATTTTTGTGTATTTTATGAATTCAATGTGCAGCAGAACCCACCATGTGATCCCCAAGAAGATAAAAAGTGTCATTTAAGAGAATGAAGATTACAAACGGTTTCAATTAAAGCTACACAAACCCCTGGATTCTGTTTTGCACATTTCAATATTTGTCCACGATGTGCACACAAACAGCCCTCCAAAGAATCCTGCCCTCAGTAATTTTCCCTTTTCTTAATCCTGATGTACAAAGCCTGGTCTCCTGGGATATTAAGAGGATCTCATAAGGACAATCCAACCTTATATTGATTCTATTTCCCAGATCTATAAAATTGGTTGCCTTAGAAAACACGAAGGGAGCAAAGGAAAAAAAAAACACAAGGCATGGTTTAATTTAAATACCACTTCCAGCAAGAGGGGGAAAAAAAGCACAAATGGGAAAAAAAAGCAGAGGATGATGCTCGTTTACTAAGATTGTGCTGTGTGTAACGTGCAACATAAAGTGACAAGGGAGGGAGGAGATCATTGTTTGAATAACATCAATATCCACACAGACACATCCCAATCTGGCAAGGGACATGGAAGATCCAAACTCCAAACAACATTGATGGCCTAGTAAATATTATTCCGACAGCAAAGGGGGGGAAGGGAGGAGGAGGAGAGCCTGGCTGAGACTGGAGACAGGCTGGGAGACACTGGGAATAATATTTGCTCCAAGGGACTGCTGGGCAGCAAATGTGCAAATCTAATTAAGGCCTTTCTCAGCTTCTCTGCCTTTTTTTTTTCTTTTAACTCTTCTCTTTTTCTGCTCCCTGTTTTTTTCATCTAGACCACTGCGGTTATAGATCACAGTTAATTGGGGTTTCAGGTATTTCCTGCTAATTGTTTAGGTGTAATTAATGCTGCCTCAGAGAGGGAGGTCAGTGCTGCTCAGCCAAAGTGGAGCTTTGGAAGACGTGACAAGACAACCCAGCGTGTCCCCCAACACAACAGCCCTGCTCCAACAAAATCAGGAAAACAAAATCAGGGATGAGTTACTCCAACCTTTGCCTTTTATCTTGATATCAGCACAAAAAACACAATGGTAATCCAAAAGAAGATGGTGATCCTTCACTAGAGGATAAAAAAGAGGGAGAGTGACTTTTAACATGGGCAGAGAGTGATAGGACAAGGGGGAAGGGTTTTAAACTAAAAGAGGAGAGATTTAGTTGGATATTAGGGAGAAATCCTTCCCTGTGAGGGTGGGGAGGCCCTGGCACAGGTTGCCCAGAGAAGCTGTGGCTGCCCCATCCCTGGAAGTGTCCAAGGTCAGGTTGGATGGGGCTTGGAGCAACCTGGGCTAGTGGAAGGTGTCCCTGCCCATGGCAGGGCATGGAACGAGATGGTTTTTAAGATCCCTTCCAACCCAAACCATTCTGGGATTTCTATGATTATCTGGGAGGTTTTTCTTTCAAAAGAAGGAAGTTTGGGGATAAACTGTTGAAGTCTTCTCCTGCTTCTTTCCTTATTTCTGTGACAAATGACTTTTCAGCCCTCTTTGTCCTTATTTCTCATCGGCAGAACCATCCCGGATTTTCATTTTTCATCTGAGATTCTCACATATTTCAGGATGCAAAACCTGCACACCCCACAGAGCCCCATCCAACCCATCCCAGCCACCAGGAGCACTTTGGGGCAGGTGAAGTCCCACAGCTCCAGCACATCAACCTCCCACCCACGTACCAGGGAGGCAGCAAAGCTCAACCACAACCAAAAGTTGCAGCCGGAACTTTTAATTCCAGATACTTCAGGTTGACATTTAGAGAGGTAATATGACAATTCATTGTGCTAAATCAATTACTGATTATCAATATAGCACTTAGTGATGTATAATTAGTATGTAAAAGATATATTTAGCTGTAGATTATACTAATAATAAGGGCTACACGAGCAATAGCTGTATAATTACATTTTATGAATACAGGAAACCTGTGAGAAATGCTCCGAGATTTAATTGACATTTAACAAGATAACTACAGCAAGTTAATTAGAAATTATATGCTAAAAATATGAATTAACTTTTAAATAATATTTTAGCTTGCTGCAATAGAACTGTAGTACTTGGTTATATACCACTGAAACACCTAAATGAAATAGTTCTTTCAAATACCATCTTTCTAATTCATTTCCCACAAACTAAAGCCTGTATTATCAGCTTCTCATTCTGAATCCTTTTTGCTATAAAGAGGCTGAGTTGATCAGCTTAGTGAAAGACTTATTTTTATGGCCCTTTCATACTTTTTAAAAATGAGATTTCTCTTACATTTCTTTCAGCATCCAGAGAAAAGATTTCGGTTCAGCCGCGCTTTCAGCTTTGAACCCTGAACAAAAAATGCAAAGTAAGGCACTGACAAGCATTTAGACTCCCTGCAAGGTGATACATCAGGGATTCTGACAGTGCTAATACAGCCAGAAATTCGGAGAATAAGATGACTCTGAACTGGTTCTGATGGGGATGGGTGTAATCACACAGAAAATATAATAGCGGGTTCTCGGCGCAGCGCCGGTATTTTTAGCTCCAGGTAGGGGAGTGCAGAGATGATGGAAATCTGGCTCAAAATGAGGTTTGCTGCAGGTTCTCTGGGGAGCTGTGGAGCCAATGCACAGCCCCTTTAGCGTGGGTGGATGTCATTCCAAACCCTGGGGATCAGAGGCTTGGGAAAGGCAGCGAGGACTCGCCAGCTCCGCTCCCAGATGAGTGTCAGGAGATCTGAAGTCTCTCCAGTTCAGCCTCTACACTTTTATTATTTTGCATAAGACTCCTCACTTCTGCACATCATTTTGGGGTTTTTTTTATTACTCCCTTCCTACCAAATTTCGCTTCCAAGTCACCTGGAGTTTAACTCATCTCCACGGAAAGTTCTGCAGTCCCTCCACTGAGAGGGACCCTGGGAGGGACAAGTGAGATTCTGCTCTCTGGTTGATCCAGCTGCATGGAGAGGGAAATAAGTCACTCAGAGGAGCAAATGGACCACCATTAGTGGGAGAAAATAGGGCAATTTCTGCTGTGTCCCAGCAAACTCCAAGGTCTCTCCTGCAGTTTTTTGCCAGCACACCCTCCTTAGCATTCCAGGCCACACACTCCAGATTATGCACACACAGAGCACGCATGATTTACTGTCCCTGCTCCTGAAAATGTCGCTTCCCTCAATATATCACGGGAGGAAATGGAGAAAACAAGATGATAAAGCAGTGAGGGATGGGTGAGATGACCTGATGTGCACCTGAGATTGCAGCATCGTGCAGCTGATGGGAATTGAGGGGTTGTTTTTAAGCTGTGAAAGGCAAGCAGATGCAGAACACTTTGGACAAGAGATGCAACAACTCTAATCTTGGCCTAAGGCCTGATCTACACCTGATTAGAAGTTCAGAAAAGCTTTAAAAACAACAAGCAAAGCAAATAAGTCCCAGACCTCCCATCTTCATCCAGAAAGGACTGGAGAGCAGAGAGCCAAGAGTGACACTCTTAGGGGGTCGTGTATTTTGCTGGTTATAAACTCCACCTAAAGCAAAACTAGAGAAGAGACAGGGGAAAAAATAAGGAAAACAGGTGATTTTTGAGAGACAGGAGCCTGAGCAAAGCTTGCCTTTGCACCACTGTTACACAGACTTGTCTCCTTTCCTGTGCAGCCAAATCCTTGAGGAAGCCAAACCTGAGGAAGCCAAACCTGAGGAAGCCAAACCTGAGGAAGCCCAGGTGGCTGCTTGCAGAGCCTCTGCTGAAGGAGTTTTTCCTGCCATGAGCTCCAGCCACTGCATTTAAAACTGATAAATCATAAAGAAATAAAGGAATGATGACAGTTTTTCCTGCAGCTGATCCCAAACTCCTCAGCAGGTAGGGCTTGGTTTATCTCCTCCTGGTCCCCACTGACCACTCACTTGTTAATTCCCTGTAGTTGTGTCTCCAGGATGACTTTAGGAACCCATCTCCCCTGGAAGAGCAGAGAAGGGAGAGCTGGGAGGTGGAATCCTTGCTGCAGAGTTTTCTCAAACACCCCAACAGCTGGGGAGGATCATATTTACTCTTGCTTCCCAAAACTCTCCCTCCGGAGCAATGATGGATCCTTTCAGGACAATGGGGTTTTCTCCTAAGGCCTATCAGGAAGCTTTGGATGTTTTGCTGAGCTTCTCTGTAAAACATATTTTAAAGAAGATAAAGCACATGTTTATATGGGCTCCTCTCCTGTAAAGA